CCGACACCTGACCCCACCTTTTGGTGGTGTCTTTATTACTTTGTCAAGGCAACGTGCGATAAATAAATAAATAAATGCCGCCTAACAAGCCGCAAAGTTGGATCAAGGTATGGGGGGGGGGGGCTATGGGGTGCTATGGGGGCTATGAGGGGCCGGTAGGTTGTTAAGGGGAGTCAAGCGAAATTTGTTGCAATTCATTGACTTGGCGCAAAGGCGCAAACATAAATTTCTGTGCCACGGGCTGTAAAATATCGACAGCAGCAGCAGCAGTGGAGGCAGGCAGCAACCCAAAAACAACAAGAAAAATCAAGAAATATTAATGACTTGAACGAACAGTCGATACCCTCACCAATAGCCGAACATAATTAATGGCCAGTGGATTAATTAACAGCAGTTTCGTTTCACTAGCACTTGTGTATATTTCACACTTATTTTTCACGCCATTCAATGTGGCACGAATAGGTATTTATACCCTTTGGTGAATATACATTCTCTGGGATAATCAAAGTTTACTGCAGAAAGTACTAAATGGTGTGAAAAGTGGCGAGATCTCGCAGTAGTGGAATGATTTTGTATTTATTTATAGGCGGAGGTCTAACGAAAGGACGTTCCCTAGAGAAGAACACGCTTTCAGCTCCCTCTATTCTCGCATAACATATATATTTATCTCCCATCTAGGATATATCTGGTCGAATGGGATCAATCGCTTAAGTTCTGTGTCTGATTCCGCCGCCTGACGAGGGTGCTTGATTCTCCATTCCCTGGAGGTCAATCAATCTGTTCCCCTGAAAATTTCCACTTGACTTGCTCCATTTATGCCCGACAAAAGTCGTCACAAAGTGCCCATACCCTGTCCCCCGGCGAGTGTACAAAACAAACTTAAATGCCAGCATATTGTAAATTTATTGGATTGGGGACATCGTGGCGGTGTTCTGAGCCTCTGAGCTGGGCTCTGGCATGGGGCATGGGGCATGGGACATGGCATAGGGGGAGTGAGGCATGTGGCATGCGGCCTAAGAGTCAGGGCTGCCTGTTGGGTGACATGTGCAGAGAGGGCAATCAGGCGATGGCGATGGCGAATTGCGATTACGATTACGATTGCGTTTGCGATGGCAATGAGCTTCTCAGCAGCCGAGAGAAGCAGCGCAAGGATATAATATAAAATGTTGCCTACATATGGGGGCAACATTTGCCCTTGCAATAAATAAATGTTAGAAACGGAAAAAGAAATCAAAAGTCGAATTGAAATCGTTCCGCTGCTAGTGCGGAATGTAGGTTGCGAGATTAATGGAAACGAATGAAATCTCTCACTAAGAATGGTCCTATAAACACTTACAAATCTTAAAATAAATGTGTACAGAACCTGCTGTTGAAATATGTACATGTTTTCTATTGTTTCATTATTTATGGAGGAAACGGAGGGCTCTCCGAGTACAAATCTGAAACATATTGAATGCCTTTTAATATTAGATGATGGCTAAACCAAAGTCGATGGTAAATCTAGGAAATCCTTTGCTTTTAACATTGCTGTAATACACTTTATATTTTAAACACATTTCAAAACACATAAAGTAGCCTTCTATATGGGTCAATTGGTTAAGTTAAATTTACTCTTTCGGCTGATGGTAGAAACCTTTTAAAGGAATGTGTCTGCGCTCTCGGCTCTCGGTAATATTCACCCGACCCCATTTGGCCGGCACATCTTATTAGTCTAACCCATGCCCCATGCCCCATCCCCCCTCCCACTCCCAGGAAGAGGCCATCATTTGGCTAATCTACCCTCTTCAGACACTTTATAGGGCAACCCGACAGCCACCCAAGGGCGGATGACCAGCCCCCGGATGACCTTCGCTGACTTCGATGGAGCACAGCACAGCACAGCACAGCACGGCACGGCACGGCACACGCTGTTTAACTATTTGTCTGGGGCTCAAGAGGCTGATTCAAATGTTTAGCCAAACGCTGAAATGTAAATCGTTGCAAGAGCAGCAAAAAATCTATCAACTTTGAGACAGAGACAAGAAAACGAGATAGGGACAGACACAGAGACAGACACGGAGACAGAGAGAAGAGAGAGTGCTAAAGGAAGAGAGCTCTCACCTAATTCTACTTCAACTGCTGCTATTTCTGGCCTGCCGTATTTCACGCCTCGCTGCATGGCTGAGGTGACTGTGGGGGATGGCTGGGGGGTGGGGGGTGGGGGGTGCCGCAAGGACGGACCACCCGCTGGCTAGCAAAATGCCTTTCGTTGTTCTTGCTCGCAGTTGACATGCTCACCGACGGAGGAGGACTAGTTTCTAAAAACTTTTCTTGCCCATTGTTCAAACTTTTTCCCAGCCACCCATCACTCACGCCCTAAAACTCAATCCTTTCTCCATTCCACAGCAGCCCCATTCCACAGACCCATTTCCATTCGCATTCCCATTCCCATTCCCAGAAAGCAGCGCGAATTCAGAGATTAGTCTTCCACTTGGATAAATCTGCAGCAATGGGCGGCAAAGTTATGGCATTCGAAGAGTGTCTGGAAACAGAGAGCGGGGACAAAGGACACTGGACACAGGAGCAAAGCGACCAACCGAGGCGATAGCCGCCATGACTACCTCTTCCACCTGGCCAGAGGCAATTCCTGTGGACCGTCAGCATTCTGCTGCCCGCTGCTCGTGGCTCCTGCTACCCCGTATTTGTGTCACTTTATTTGTATTAATGGCACTCGGGCATCCTGCGGCGCAGCTACAATAAGTAATTTGATCGAGTGGCAACGACTCCAGACTCCAGACTTCTAGACTACCAACAGCGAACAGCGGACTGCGGACTGCCCGTCGAGGCAGCACCAGGCTCAACGCACTTTGGTCCCTCCCCATTCTGGGCCCTCCTCTGGATGCTCCTCTGTCCAATGCATTGTGCATTGGCGAAATGAATTTTTAGAAGATGGCAGAAACGAATAGCAGACCAGAAATGGCGCAAAAACGAGACCAAAGAGAAGACTGAATGCTCTCGAGGGTCCTGGCACTGCCACTGACTCGAATCGCTGTTCAGACAGACAGGGCTCTGGGATAAGTGGAGCAGCAATTGGTTTGAAGCTGGGGTTATCATGAAGCGAGCTTGAAGGATGCTTCAACTGAAGATAATTTCGATTGGGAACCACTTTCCACGAGAACTTTGAGACTGTTTAAGCAACACGAGAAGGGCTTCTTTCGGTTTTAGATTGAGATTCTACTTGTTACAAAGAAATAAATAAATTGAAGGAGCCAACTAGAAAATGCATTAAAAATGCTGCATGATTGAAGCACAAGGAAATTCTAGCTATATTTTTGATGAAAAGGGGGACTCTATTTGGTAGAAAACCAAAAGGTTATGGGAACCGCAACAACATTTCAATTAGTACTCATTCCACGCATAAGTGATCATGGAAATCTGCACTTGGGATAGACCTCTCCCATATCTATGTGTCCCCTTATCAACCTCATTCCATAGCTAATATACCCCCCAAAAGGACAGACCAAACGACAATCGAATCCATCCGCAATGGCGACTAAAACTACTAGCCAAAAGGAGCTGGAGGAGGAGTTCCACGACGGGGCAGCCTAGGGATTCAGGATGCAGAAATTTTGAACATCTAGGAGTAACAACGGCAGCCGAGTGCAAGGGATTAAACACTCTAGATTTTATTAGATAGAACCCAGTGAACAGCAAACGAAACGGAATTTTGCAGCGCCCACCGTTTATGGCCGTCCAGCCCCACCCCATCCCACTGGTCTTTTAAGCTTGCATCCCATCCCCACCCGTTCGCTCAAGGTCCACACGAACATCATAAATTCTGTGACAAATGCAGGTACAAAGTGCTTCCCAGTGGCAAACTTTTGCTTGGCCAAGATAAGGCAGAGATTCCAGCTGGAGCCCACGCCGAGCAGGACCCTCTTTTCGGGCCTGGTCAAACATAATTGCCAAAACTTTAAGCTCTCCCTCTCCGGCTCCGGCACCGGCACCGGCTCCGGCAACAGCTACGTCTGCCCACCGCCCTGTGTCGAGTTGGGTGAATTTTAATACCAATTGATTCGAGATTTTCGCAAAATATTTGCATTAACTTGTCAATTCTCATGAGAGAGGCCTAGGCCAGGCCAGGGCCTGATTAGCTGTCATTGTGCATTCCAGTCAACAGAGGGGAAACGGCCTGCTTGTTCGCCAGAGCACTGAGAGGCGGAGGCTGGCCATATGAACCCAGGAAAACTGGAGAGCTGTACAGTGAACACATGCCACAACCGGACAGTGTTTTTAACCAGTATATTCAAATGAAAGCTGGATTGTGGCGACTCTTTGTTAGAGTGAATTTCCCTGTACTTGGTATTTGGTATATTGTGGTCGCAAGTTCCCAGTTTCCGCCTTGTTTTGTAAGACTGCATAATATTTTCAGTTCAGGGTAGGCGACAGTTGTGGTAACAAGTGACTTGAGCTGGTTTTGTTATTGAAATGAGCCACAAACCCATACACGCACACACATACACACACATTTATTCACGCACTCCGCAGTCACACCGATCCACAAACACAGCTGCAGATAGACATACAGATACACCCGCAGATACACTCATGCACAATGTCTATATGGATGGGGACGGGGTAGGGGCTGGGGGGGATTGACACTCGCACGCATGCATAAGTAAACCAACATAAACATTTGCTCCAACGCCGAGTATAAAATGGCATAACAAGCAGCAAACCACACACAAAGGCACAAGGGCACCGGAGGAATAAAAGCAGGCGAGGAGGCGGTAGTACTACAGGGGAGCGAAGAACGTATGTATAATATTGTATGGCAGCCATAGATCGAATTTTATGATACCCTATTAGCGGATAATTGGGGCAATTGGGAGATGAGTACATGGCTGGCTTAACGAGGATATTTCTCATGTTCTGGGGGGGGGGCATCTTTCGACGGCACAAATGAGAGGATTTAATAAAGGTGGAGCCTTAAAAAGGGAGCTGTTATGGGTTGAACTTACCACAGTTTTCTTCATCTCGTATATCCAAAAATAAATCCATTTATCGTAGGTAATACAAAAATTCGTTTGTTATCTGAAATACACAATAAAAATTAAGCAATTAAATCAAATCATATATTATTTTTTTAGCCCTAAAATATTCTGCTATACGTAATGGAATTTCCTGAAATGAAACTATGAATAATGCTGAAGGGTTCTGCACAGGAGAGCTTTTGCTGCAAATGTTTAAGTAAAAAGTTCCTTTCAAGTTGTTTACAAACAGGGAATACCCATCATTCCTTTGAGTGCACGAAAAACCGCAGTTGGGAGCCACAAATTTTGTTGCTGCGCATTGCTGATGCTGCTCCAACTGTTCCTTCTGTTCCTTCTGTTCCTTCAGTTCCTGCTGCTCCAACTGCTTCAACAGCTCCGCTCCTGTTGGCCATGTGGCTGATACTCGTACTTCTTCTGGCTTCAACAGTGGCTTCTGTAGCTGCTGCTGCTTCGAGTGGGGGGAAATTGCTGGAAAAGCTGGGCTGGTGCCGCCATCATCATCTTCGCCTTATTACCGCAGCTTTTCTTTTGTGAGTTGCAAGTTGCTGGTATTGTTGCTGCCACTGCGCGGCTGCCACTGCGACACCTTAACGAGCTGCTGCTGCTGCTGCTGCTGCTGTTGTGTCAGGTGTGGCGTGGGCCAAGTGCTCGCATTCGATGGGGGTGAAGGACCCCTCCTGTTTTTCTTTTCTCAACTGGCCATGCAATTAAATTGGAGCCAGCCAGCACACAGTTCGATGCATGCTACATGGCATCTAAGCAATTGACAGGTTGCACTTGAAGGCTGACACGTCGCACACACGTCACACAAACAGGAGAGAGATAGAGCGACACACACACACATACAGGCGAGTGCACATGCAATCAATTAAATTCGTTGTAAATTCAACGGCTTATCTGCCGTAATCAATCTTAATTTTCCACTTGACATGCATCGCCGAGGCAAAGGAAAATGGAAAGGCAAAGGCTTGGCAGGAGAAGAAAACCATCTCGACTCTTCTCTCCCACTCGAGGGATCCCCAAGGCACTCGAGTGTGAGCAAAAGAGAGGGACGGAAGACGGACACACACTGCGTATACGCAACCTGGCCGCTCGATTCTTTACGCATTTTAAATCAAAAATACATTTCCGGCTGCCGCCACACAAAGAATTCCATGCCACAATTTACGAGTGTAGGCCCCAAATAAGAGAAGAGTGTGCATTGCAATCCAAAGTGCACTCGAGACAAATGTAAAATAAAAATCGCAAAAATGTTTAAACTCGGTATAAAAGTGGGACAGTTCCTCGGGACTGGGACTGGCACTAGGCCCGGACTGTGGACTGTAATGGATGATTGTTTGCGAGAGTACGAGTATTTTCCTTTATTTTTCAAAACTTTTCAATTGATTTCCCCCTCTCTCTCTCTGTGCTCTTTGCAATCGTAATCAGTTCGTTTTACAGGTAGGTTTCAATAATTGAAATTTTTCATTCGGGTTACGGAATTTGTCCGCATCCTACAGCTCGTATATTGGATTTCGATTACCAAAAATGGCTCTTATGATTGAATCTCAAATGCACACACTTCGTATGGCAGGAAAATTTAATCGAGAATTTTTGATAGGAATAGCATCTCTGATTGGAACTGGAAAATTTCTGGGGATTGCACATATTAAATGGTTTTATTCAACAATAAATGAACAAATAAATAACAATTTTTCCTGCAAAATAAAATCTAAGCAACTAAGGAAAATTTGTAATGAAATTCGTTAAGTTCGGATTGAATTCGATTCTCAATTAATTATAAAAATATAGCCAAGAAGAAGTCTTACGATACAAAACTTTAAACGACGCACCTTCACAAATAAAATATTAAAAGGCAAGGGACTATTTTTTCGACTTTTCCAGAGCTATTAAAGTAAAAATTTTGAAGAAAAATGAACGCAAACAAATTATTGTTTTGGCATTTGAAAGATTAATATTTCCCAGACGATAAGCTGAAGCTACAAAGTGTTCAGGTCTTATTTAAAGAAGATACTTGAGTTATCTGAAAAGAAGAAGCACTACCTCCAAGAGAAACATTGCATATACCATTTTAGAAAAATTTAAGACAAAATCTTTCAATAGCAAAAAGAACCATAATTCATTAAAAATTTGTACAACCCAAAATCTATTAGAAAAAGTTGGTTCTAATGAATTTTATTAATTTTTACGAGTTTATCTCCTATATTTTTAAATATTCATGATTTCGAAGAAGTGTTGAATGCAAAAATAGAGGAAACCATCTTTCATTGGTGAAAAACCTTATTCCATAATGACCCTTTTTTATAAAATTTCCAAATGTCATATAGATTTCATTTCCATGTACCCTGTTTCGTAAGTTAATGCACATTTGCATACTCAACAAATTTTGATAGACTCTTGTACTTCGAATCGAGACAGAAAGCCTTGCAATATCAATGCCCACTAGAAATCTACTGCTCTATCTATTTGTGCACACATATGTATACTCGTATTCCACCGAGATACCAACAACACAGTACAATCTTTCAAATGAAATTCCCTCGAATTATTGAAAATTGATATTTGTTAATTGAAGTTCGTTAATTGAAATCGAAGAGAAAGTGCAAACTAAGTGCTAGAACCACTCCATAGTGCTACTTTGTTTGAGTTAGCCCAACAAATTCATTACCAATATCCTCGAAAGCCCTAATGGACGATTATGGGCCTCAATGTTTAATCAAAATCACTTGAAATGCCTTCCAGCTAACCAGGGTCTCCATCTGCTCCTCATCCTCCTCCCTCTGGCGCCCCATCCCATTCCACCACTTATGCTTATGTGCATCCAAATTTTGTGCATGCCAGAGAGTGATTTTGGTGCTTGGCTCGGATCGAACCGAACCGAATCGAATCGAATCCATCAGTTGGCCCAGAGATATTTCAACCATCTTGTTGCAATTTGTCCAAGTTTGTTCGAGGACAGAACCGCATGTTGCCACACTCGTAAGTAGAACCCACGGCCCCGTCCCGGACGCATCTATGGCTTGATGTACGCACTGATACACCAGTTACCGGGAGCATTACTTAATATGTGTAAATTGTGTGGCATCAACTATGCATTGTGTGTTATCTCTGGCTATCACAACTCCTGCTCCCGCACCCCACTACACCTCGCCGCGCCCCGACCCTATGTCCTCGTCCTCGTCCTCGTCGTGTGCATGTGCCTGGGTCGTGGCTGAAACAATTTATCATTTGAGCATGACGCACGAAACGCAACACACACTCCACTCCCCTCCGTCCCCACCGTCCCACACCGAGATACGCACTCATACATGTATTCAAATGCATTATACCATTGAGCTTATCAGTGGGGCTTCCACTTGCCTTCCTTTCCTCCCACGGCCCCTCCCCCTCCATAACCACTCGGGCTTAGTACTCCTCGAGGCAAAAGCATTTAACATGCAGTTTATGTTTGCCGCAAGATCTATTACAGGAAATTCACATATGTATGCCGATGTGCACAAATTGTTGTAAGTGGGTGTGGCCGGGAGATGGATGATGGTTTCACCAGGAGATGGAAAAGGAAAGGCAGATCCTTTGCCAGAGCAGAGGTAGATCCAGAGCCAGGACTCTGCGGTAAGTCCCAATCGAGCAGCAAAACAAAACCTGATTATTTTGTGCGGTTTGTGTGGGAGCTTTTCACAGTGTGTTCACTTATGCCAGGATTTGCATTAAATATCCTTATTTAAACATCTGAACACACCCACACACACACACACTAAACTAAACAAATACAACGCCTACGAAATTATGCAAAAGTCGGCAGCAAAGATTTCTCGGTTGGGCGCATGTTTAATTTATTGATTAGGTCGCAAGCCCCAGCCATAAGCCCCCGACCCGAATCGACCCCAGATTGTGTTTCGAATGCAATTGTAATAAGTTTAATTACAATTCGGAGTGCACTCATTTGTGCCTGTCTCTTTCCCTATCTCTGAAGTGAGTGAAGGTGTTAACCGAATGAGTTGGGCTTAAGGGTTTGAGCCAGGCATCGCATCAGGCAGTCAGCCAGTCAGGCAGCCAGGCAGCCTGCCTGACGGGTTCATTAGATCGAATTACTTACTTGCCGTCACTTCCTTTGAGTTATTTCATTGGAATCATGTTGTCACATCACGAATAATTTGCTCTGGCATTTTGCTAACCATTCTCTCCACTCTCATCTCAAATTTGCACAATTCCGTTGTCCATTGGCTCATAATTACGAATGAATATCCATTTCGATGCCTGCAAATATTGATGAGTGCAAAAGGAAGAGATATACATAATTATACAATTGATAATATGCACTTTGATAGCCTATTCCACGATGTATGTCACGGACTTCTGTCCGATTTGGCAATTGTTTTTGGGAAGTCCGACAAGTTGTTGATAATTCTACTTCTGTAATCATTTTATATTAAGCCTAAGTAGAGTGGATGTGCTGTTTAAAATGCGCTTAAATTAACAGTATTTAATCTATTAAAAAAGTTTAATTGGGGCCTAGTTTATATCGTTTAATCTGTGCTTAACCCAAATACATTCCTGGTCTAAACAGTGCCTCAAATTAAATAACAAATTGGTGGCTTTTTAGGGGGGACATTGAAAATGAATTGAAAATAGTTCCAGAACAAGGAGCAATATTTATTCTTGGTTTCCTAAGGAATTTGCCCCACAAATTGGTTCGTTAATATTTTGCAAGCGTTTTTCCACAACATAAAAACTTGCCAAAATAAAAGCCCTGCTCCAGTCTCTCTAGACTCCATCCCACTTCATTAGCTTATTGATGGCTTGGGTCTTGGGTGGCCGAAACACCAAAATCTGCATATAAATTTATGTTTGTTATAACTTTAATTACCATTAGTGCTACCAGCTATGCATATAACAACTCAGCAAACAGCAACAACAACCAGCAACAACAACTGCAATGTCACTTTGGCAATCAAATGAGAAAACCCAAGGAGAAGACCCAAAAAGGGAAGATCCAGGCGGCTCCTTGCTTGAGCAGCAGTGGGCGAAGGGCATCCTCAAAATCAGCTCTCAATATAATGCGGCGGAAGCTTTTGTGAAATCCTTACGTCCAACTTTTTAATACGAAAACTTTTACCGAGTTTAGTAGTAAGGCAACAGCAACAACAACAACAACAACAACAACAACAACGAAAAGAACAACAGCTAGTAAAACTACACCAACAATTACAACAACAACACCATTGGAAAGGACACCAACAACTAAAGCAATTGCAACAGTCACTTGGTGGACTTGTTGTGGGCAGGACGAGAGCCGCAGTTGGCTGCCACCGAACTGAACCTCGAGAACAGAGCATATTGCATATCCCTATGTCCTGACCAGACCAGACCAGACCTCAGGACGACCCCCCGGCGGACCCCCGCCAATCTCCCTCTTCTCCAAAAGCGACCAAAGCCACTTGAGCAGCACAGAAAACTAACTTAATCTTGTTTACATTCTATGACGAGTTATGAAAATGAAAGGATTAAGCTGGCCACAAACAAACGCACCAGCCAACCAACCAACCAACCAACCAGCTAACACACACACACACACACACACACACAGAGAGAGAGTAGATGCATACACACACGTGGCTTATACAAACAAAACTTACGCATGGAAAAACCGAAGAGAACCAAGTCAACAACATCATGGTACAGCCAGCCAGCCGGGGATCGGAATGTGTGAGTGTGCGACGAAGTCTGGATATGCTCTAGGCCAAGAAGCACTGATTGCGAATTATTTGTGGCACAATTTTATGCGAATTTGCTGAAGAAGAGATCGTGTAGCTTTAAGGGGGGGCGGCTAGGTCAGGCTGCACATTCAATCTATCTATTTGTGTTTAATGCCTATGCCTAAGGACGTTTAGTGTGGGGCTAACATTGAGAGGATCCTCTGTGCTCTCTGAATCTCGCAGATATAATTATAAGTACTTCTACTTGGCCTGTCCAGCGAACAACTCCCTTTGGGTCAGTGTATGTCAAAGTGAGCAACAAAAGGTCTGCCACTGAAGCAACAACCGGAAACAAGAACAACAGCAACATTTAACTAGCATTTGCCACACCCTTGGCATCCGGGCGGGGCCTCTCCTCTCATCCGTGGCCTTGCAAATTAGTTGCATTTTAGTTTTATATTTGGTTAAGTTGCGTCGCTTGCCTCGTTTGGCTCTAGCTTTGGCTTTGGCTTTGGCTTTCCCTTTGGCTTTGCCACTTTTTTGTGTATTTTGTATTTCATAAACGGACTTCCAACAGGACCTGCGGTGGCGCCGACAGTCTGTCGTGCAGCTGTCGATGTATATCTTTATAAATTTACCAACTCATGGCACCACCTTCTACCCCCCCGCCCATCTGCTGGTCCTCTTGCAGCGCCACCTCAGATGACGACAGCTAGCCACAATTTTCCGTCAGCTCTATTTATTCATTTGTTTGTTTGTCCATCGCCTGTCCACATAATAATTTTGAAGTGTAAAAATATTTTCCATTGCGGTCTGGGACACGTGCGCAGCGTATCCATCAATGATGTCTCCTGTTCTGGCAGACAGACAGACAGACAGATAGACGTGCAACGCCTCTGCTGTACTCGAAAATTTAATTTGCACATCATCGATAAACAGTCAACAAGGCAGGGCCAACAGACTGTTGGGGGTCTGGCACGGGGACGGGGAGGAGTTGGAGGTGGAGGTGGGGAACGTGTGAGGCATGTTTATGATATGTGAGTCGAGTCCCCTGCCAAAACGAAAAGTTGTTAAGGACTCTATGAATATTGCATGCGCTGTACGGGTAGTACTCGTACCGTATATGACGTTTGTTTTCAATTTCGGTCTGTTGGCTCTTTTATTTTTCGGCAAGTGGAGAATTTATCATGGAAATGATACACCAGGTGGGGCAGGAAACCAGAGAACGATTCCATTGCATGCCAAGGTGGAATAATAACAATATGGGACTGCTAGAATATCAAAGAGATTCAAATCTAATGGAGAAACGATTGGATTGATTCCATTTTGGAATTGGTTCAGTACGGCACTCGATAAAGGGTTTATTTTAATTTGATTTACAGCTTCGATCGATTCAAGAACTGATGGAGAGTTTATGGAATATTGCAACTACTGTACTCGTAAAGCCACACCATCTATGCGGCGCATATAAATCTCGAGGAGTACCGCTCTGCAGTCAGGAACTGGAAATAAGTGGGAGTTTAATCCAGCCCGATCTCAGATCTCAGATAGATTGAACTCAATCTTGTATGCAGTTTGAATTACTTCCGGAGCCCATAAAATATGTATATCACCTTAGCCAGCCGCTTTATTGCAGCGCAGCGTGCCACCAGTCCGCCGTTGCCACTGCCACTCCACTCCAGTCCATTGGGGTTGCATAAATTGTGGCAAGTATTTATTGTATTTAATGTAAACTTGCCCACTTGCCACTTGGCAAGTGCAAATAGGCACGCAAAGGCCACCAGTTGCATCTGCCACATCCACCAACTGGCAACTGACATGTGTGTGGGGCACATTTTGGCAGTGCATTGCAGTTGCCTGTTCCTGCAGCTCCTACAGCTCTTGCTGCTGCTGCTACTGCTGCTGTTGATGAGTTACAGCCAAGTTGTTGAAGTTTCTGGCCAAAAAGTTGACGCAGCCTTTAGATAAAACTGCAGCAATAGCAGGGGCAGAAGCACCAGCAGCAGGGGCACAGAGAAAGAGAGGAGGACAGGACACTCTCTCGTCAGATATAAACTTCATTGAAGTATAAAGCAATTAGTGTTGGAAAGTAAGCCGAGCAAAGTTTCAGTCAGGTGGAGGAGAGACAGTAATTTGATTCAACTTCCATTTGTGGACTGTGTTTGCTGATGCAGAGGCAATTTTTCAATTTTTGAACCAGAATTGTGGTCCGCATATCTCTGGCTCCATAAATTCTTCAAACTATTATCCTGGCATGGCAACTGCAAGAGGTTTTTCGTCCTGAGGCAACAAACATTTTTCAGAGGTTAATTGAATTCTGATTACACGCTTATATTCAATTTGTGTGTTCAATGCAACACCCTTTTCAACGTCAGATTCTTTAATCAAGATTTTACAGAATTTGAGAGGGGTTTCAGCCGTCCAGCAAAGCATTCATATTATTTTCAAGCCACAAAAGTGTATAAAAATCTCTAAATCCCAATACCTTTCATGAAATATTTTCCTTTATCAAAGGATTTTCGATGCTGAAAATTGATTTCACAATACCAATGCACTCGTCATTTTGAATGCAATATCATTTTACAGACAATTTCATGTGGCACTCATATCGAACTCATTTCGGATCTCAAAGTTATTTGACATACGGAAAAACCATTCCGCTGCAAACTTGACAAATGCGCAAGGGCCTCGACCTCGACCTGGGCCAACATCAATGAAAAAATCATCAAGCGGCGGCCATTTCCCAGCCATTAAACACCCATGGCCATAGATAAGCTGTGCAATGTTTGCGTAAATAAATTCGCCTGTTTTTTCCCTCTCTCTCTGGCCGTTGTTCTCCACAAAAACCAAAAAAAAAATAAAAAAAAAATAACGAGAAGAGTGGCCATTGCATATGAAAATATGTCCATTAAAAATAGATGTGTGGCCGTCGTTCTGGGGGCGTAAACGCGTCGCCACCAGCCCCGTCTCGTCAGCTGTTGGACATGCAAATGTGCAGAGCGACTCATTCGATTGCCAGGCCTACGTCCACCGCCTACTACTATATACTAAAAATATATACATATATATACAATATTCCCTCACCCAGTGCACGCACATTTGCGGTTCATAATTCGCGTGCCATTTTTGTACGTTGATGGACAAAATCAACAAACGAACAAACGAACAGGCGAAAAAATGGAGCGTTACCAACTTGAATTTAAATTAAAATGCCAACGCAGCGCGCAAGGCAAATTACGAGAACATTCAGGCATCCGTTCAAATAAATATATATATATATATGTACATACATATATTTATATGTACATCGTATAGTAGGGAGACGATAAATATTGATTGTACGGTCACGTTAATTTCTGGCAATTATGCGCGTTTCGCATTTATTTATAAAGAGTACTAAGAGATGAATATATAATCCGTACATACGAGTATGAGCATTTATAGGGGTCTTGCTGGGTCTGCTGGGCCTTTACTATTATTTGTTATTATTAAATATGTCTCGATAATTATCGTACACTTCCCTGCATCGTCCGGCATGGGCATCGACGTCGACATCGACATCGACGCTGGTCGGAGGGCAGCCGGCAGCCGGCTGTGGTCGGCCGGCAGATGCTTAAATGCATATTGAGTGGGCCAAATCGAAATGGTCAATATATGCAGATACACTTTATATATATACGTATATATATACACATAAAATACATAGCTATATATGCGTGTGGGGCCATGGGCTGCTTCGAGGGAAGATTGAAGTGTTGACAGAAACTGCAGGTCTTTCGCGGGGGATTAACAGAAATAAATATTTGCGTAAAGTTTCTGTTTACCAAATATATGCAGGTTTTTACAGTCACCTGCCGTGCTTGACACAGGACTTTTGGGGTGACAAAGAGATATACAGCTGTATTACGAATGACATTGAAATGTAATAATCCATGCAAAGTGGCACCTAAAAGTCCCAGTAATAAGTGACTTTAATTTTGAATATTTCATTATTCAATCCGCATCCGAAAGCCATTTTCCAACTATCAAATGCCTTTAACCTAGAAAACTTCCTTGGAAAATCATATTCTTAAGGTCGTTCCTTTTTTAGGATGCCAAATTAATATTTGACTCGCAGTGCTCTCTTTTATAGACGCAATCACAAAAGGATTACTCAGGTGGGGCTACTCAAAAAACTCCATTAAAAAGTGTGCATAAATCGATACTCACTCTGTCGGTGGAGCTCCTGGCTGGCTCCTGATGTCTGTCTGAACTTCAACGGCTCACCTCGTTTTATTGCACCACTTAAAATAAATTTAATTAATTAAAGCAGGGATGGCGGGAGGTAGTTAGGTAGGAGAAAATAAAACAAACCTTTCGAGACACTTTTAAAGAGAGATCTACGGCGTGGAGCTGGCAGACATCCAGGCGACCGATTTGCATCTTCTCTCTTTTGTTTTATTCCGGCTCCATCCTTGCTCCTTCCCCTTCCCACCATTTGGCATATGTGCTAGGCAACGTCGTTGTTCTGGCAGCATCGTCCTGACTCCCGAGTCCCGTCCTCTGCCTCTGCCTCCTTGTATCCCGTGTATCCCGTGTATATCTTCTTATGTGCCAAACCGCTTGTGTTCCGTATCTGGGCTGCGTTTCCTTTAACTTTCCGCTGGCATCCGGCGCTCCTTTCGTTTCGTTCCGTTCCGTTCCGTTCTGCTCAGTTTACTTGGCTGGCAATTATGAGAAGAAAAATAAAAATAACGTTTTTAGCAGCAAACCCAAAGTTTTCCTCCCATCTGGCTCCCTTGCCCCCGTATCCCCCCTCTCTCCCGCCAGCCCTAGCGGCAACAAAGATGGAGAACAAGTCTATAGATTTTGTCCTGTTACTTGGGATTGGACTGGCCTTCTTTCTGCCTGGCGACAAAAAATTTTTTTAGTGTAATTATCTTTTGAATAATTAAAGAAAAATGTTGGCCGAGCTTAACAAGAAGCAGGGTCTGAGAGAAAATGAAACAGAGCTGCAGGATCCAGCGTCGCGACATATTTTCTAAAGTTTTCTTTGAAATTTCCACAGGGCCAGGGTGCAGCCAGGAACAGGAACGGGAACGGTAACGGGAACCAGACCCCGCCCAATCCCCAAGGGCACGCCCTCGCCGCCCACTCGGCGTTCAGCGGCACACGCTCGGAACTCGTAATTTGCTTTAAGTTATGCTCATTATGCGCCAATTATTTGTGTCATGCAATGGAAAAAGAAAAAAAAACTCAGCCAAATTCGAATCGGGCCAAGATTCGGTCGCTTGCGGCCAAGAGGAAGACGTTGAACGTTAAGCACTGAGCGCTTGGCACAGATTTTGCTCGGTTGGCTCTCGGGATCTTTGATGCCGCATACCTCATACCTAGGGTCAGATTTGAAGCCGGTTATGAAGCGGTTAAGGCGGTTCTTAAAGTTTACGCCAACAAAAGTTGAGAGGTTGCGGCAGGTAGAAATTTAAGGGGAGTCTAGGGAGTTTCCGCTGAATCTAATAAATAAATAAGAATACTCTTAAGGGCCAAGTGTATAAAAAACCGACTAGGACTCGCTTCGATTGTAGGCCAACCCCCGGCTCACTAGCTTGCATCGTTCGGCTACATATTCAGGAATAAATATGAACCTATCCGATCCCAGTAAAGCATCTCCCACAGCCATTTAAATCCCTGCAAAAGACATTTACTTTACAATTCGATAAGGAAACAAGTGCAAATCTTTCCGGGCTACATTTTACCTTATACATTTGAATGATTTCCCTTATCCTGTCTGGGGCTAAATGGGTTAAGAGACTTGGCTGCACTCTCAGCGCCGTTTGATGGCGCTTCTGCAGAGTCGTCCCACGTGACCAGGCACTGCTGCTGGATGTGACTCTGATTCTGGTCTCTGTCTTCGTCTTCGTCTCTGGTTGCAGCAACGGGAGAGTTACACGAAACTGTTTAGTTTATACTGGAGGTTGTTGTCTTAGGGACCCAAGTTGACGCTGTCCCCCAGCTGCTGCTGCTGGTGCTGCTGCTGCTGCTGCTGCCGCTTCTGGTGTCACTCTTTCCGGACTCCTTCCCCTGTTGACACACCATTACTGCAGCTAATTAGAGGAGTGACCCCAGTGACGGGAGCGCATTTAACCCCCCCAAACACAGTGCCACCAGGCAAGCACCGGCACCGGCACCCATACCCTTACCCGTACCCATACCCGCACCCGCATCCGCTCGTCGTGGTCCGTCCCAGCTCCCCTTCGACCTGTCATGTGTACGGAGGCGAGTGGGGTTCGTTGTTGACGCCTTGCACGTTGCACGTTTCTGTTTCACGTTGCTGTTGGTGTTGCTACTGCTGTTTCTGTTTCTGTTGCCCTGCAGTCAACTGCCTTCACACTTGGCAGGGGGCTCTCCTGCCTTCTGCCACCCCATTGCTTTCCTTTCCCACACCCCCCCCCCCCCCCCTTTCGCCGCCCCCCACTGGCTTGTCAACTTCCTTCCACTTCTCATTTGTGCGGCATTTCCGGTACAATGGCGGTAACAATGAAGGGAAAGCCCCGCACTCGAAGCTCGACGCTGTTTGCTGGCGACGTTTCGCTTTCCGCCTGGGCTAAAACCATTTCTAGACTCCAACCAGACTCAGTATCCATATCCCCCGTATCCGTACCCCCCTTTACCTTTACCAAATTCCGGACTAAGAGGCAGAGACACAGAGAGAGAGAGGGAGAGAGAGAGAGAGGGTACTCTGCTGCTGCAATTGTCTTTTCTTTTCAAATAGTTTTCGCCTGCTCTTTCTATCTTTTGCTGCTCTCCCTTTCCCTCTCGCTTTCCGTTCGAGTCAAAAGTTGGCTCAGTTAATTCATGAGATTTCACGGTTTATCTCACCGGCGTCTTCATTCCCAGCCGGCCCAGCACCTGCACCTGCACCTGCAGCACCTCTTGTTTGCTGCTACTCTCTCTCAATTTCTCTGTGTTTCTCTCTATCTCTCTGTTCTCAGTTGCTCCGTTGCTCCGTTGCTCAGTTCGCATCGCATAGTTCACAGTTAATTAGAAAACTATTCCGCGTGCGGCCCCGCTTTGCCCAACTTCTGAACTCTGAGCTCGACTCCGTCGCAGGCCTCTCACAGTCGCTCCGAGAGTCGTTTAATTAGAATTTCCTTGCCGGAAAAGTTATGAATATTCGATGTACGAGTACTCGTACACACAAAATAGTTATTTTTGTTTCCCAAAATCCATTTTCTGTGTAATTTCATTCCAGCAATTGACTGGCGCCTGAGGCGGCAAAGGCTTATACTTTTGATAGATTCTTGATTGGAGCAGATTTTTGGGCGCCTGGGCGAATGAGTGACTTGAAATAATCAAGTTTCAATCCAAATGCCACAATCCAAATTAGAAAAATTCCATTCATTTAGAAGTAGTTATACTAGTGTTCTTTTGTGTGGGTTTCAGGGGTCCTTAGGGGGATTGATATTATTTGTCTTGCCTATGAAAAGTCATACAAAACTATAGCTTCTTGACATTTGGTTGGAATATCTTTGGCAACAAAACAATTTTCTCTCACAAGCACTTGTTTTTCTAACGATTATTTGCTCTAATATATATAACACCTGGATCGAGAATTTATCCCTTTATTGGAACTTCCAATCAAATTTATTACACCCTCCTTAAAGGTACCCACCTGCAGATTTCCATTTAAATTTCCATTTGTTTCAATCAAACAGTTTCCAAAAATAAATTTCATCAATTTGTGGCTAAAGATATAAATAAATATCAAATAAATTCAATAAAATCCAAGATTATAAGAAAAAAAGAACAAAAAAAAAGCCGCAATAACTCCAGATTGACATTCAGTGGAAAGGAATAAATAAATATAAAGCAGAGATTTTCACCACAAGTTTGGGCCAGGGATCAAAAGTAACTAAGGAAACCATCAACTATGGAGCCATCCCAAATGAAAGTGCGGTTCATAAATGGCAGAACAGATACCGCCTTGGGGCGCCATCGCCTTTGAGCGATTGCAATATCAACGAAACTTGTAAACAAATATTTCCGAACACACAAAAAGCCGTTCCTTCAACCGCAAAGTGTTTTCATTTATTTTTGCCAGTTTCCATCTTTTTCTTTTCTTTTTTTTTCCTTTGCAGCTCCCAGTTTGGAAAATTTATTGGATGCAGCCAAACTGATTTGATTAGAAACGCCCCTTTCGAATCTTTAGCAAAGTTGTAACGCCTCCATCTCTGCCGTCATTACGCCCAGCCTTTACCTTGGGCATCCACCCCGCCCCAAAAAGGAGCCTCCTTGCCGTATCCTCCCCCTTGCGTTCTGTCCGTTCTGGCCATTTGTTCGGCCTTTAAGCCCAACGCTTTTGACGGTCGCCTGCCCAAAAGCAATCTCTTAATTTGTTTACAAGCTTTGCTTTCGGCTTTTTCTTCTTTGGCCGTTCGTCTTTCGTCCACCCCACTGCTATCCTATCCTATCCGTATCCTGGCCACATCCCGTACATCCCCTGCCTCTCTATGCGCTTTCCGCTAGTTCTGCAAACCTCAAAAATATGTAAAAAGCCAAAGACTCGACGTCGACTCGTTTGCAACATTTGCAGCCTCAATGGGGGCCGGCACACGCCGCAGTAGAGCTGGAGGATGGCATGAGAGGAGGCTCTGATAGAGATCTTGCTTTTATTTGTTACTTAGCATATTTTCACCTTGAGGGCAAACAATCTCCCACTAGACACATACACAGACACACACACACACACACACACAGACACACACAACCACCTACTGCCGTAGTCGGTCGGAGCGTATATCCAGTCGGAGCGAAAGTAATAAATATTTTTTGCTGCGCTGCTCTCGAGCTGCTTCAGCTTAAAAAACATTTCCATTTTTTCAGTTCTGTTCCACTCCCCTCCCCACCTCTGCACTCCCCTCCTGTCTCTTTTTTCTGCTGCACAAGATTTTGTTAGTTGCCTTGGCTTTCTTCTCGTTTTTTTTTATTATTGGTGTATGCCCTGAGTGCGGGAGATGGGTAGCATTACTTTAAGAGCATGTTGGCCACATTATGATGCAAAGCCGCCATTTGATCGGAATAATATGGGGATTAGCTGAGGCCAGACAGGGTCTTTGATTGGGGTGTCTCCAGGCGTGGGCGTGGCATATCCATCATGTATTTGTTTTTAAGATGAACCACAAGTAAATCGGATATGGTATCTTAGGAATATATATGGCTATGGAAAATAAACAGCATATTTCTCTGAGCTATATTTCTATAAATAGCCAGCCTCTTCAGTCTGCAATTTAAATCAAATTTTAAAGTGGGGAGGGAAAAACATTATCCATCAAAAGAAACATCAATCATACGAGTACGAGTATGTAAGCCTGAATTCTTTCAATATGAACAAGAATTCACTGATTACAATTCACTCTCATGGCATAACCCATTTCCTCATTTAAAACCGATTTCCTCTTCAACTGCCAACAATTTCACTTTTTCCCAGTTGTTCCCAGCAAGGGATGCTGGTCCAGGGAACCCCCGAACCCCCGATCCCGCGAACCCGCGAACCGCCAGGACAAAAGATACAACTGCCTGGAATGAATGGCGGAGTAACGAGAGTATCAGCCATTTCATCACCTGTTCGATAAGCTTTTCATGCTTTTCCTACCTACTATTCCGCTTTCCGCACTCAAACGATATGGCGGCGGTCGTTGGCTTATGCCGGCAATATATTCCCCCCCGCTATCCTTTCTACTTCCCCCTCTTTATGTACAGGTACTACATGCATATATAAATTATTATATATATACATATATTTATGTGTATTTTTTGAATTTAAATGATTGAATTGCCGTGTGCCAAAGTAGAAGAAGAATGCGACAGATGGAGATGCAGATGGAGATGGAGATGGAGAGAGATGCTGAGGATGAGGCTGACTGCCATTTGCAGAAATATGAAAATTACCTTTAATATGAAAAGGCAGACAGTCAAACACAGAACACAGAACGAGAGAGTTTTTCACCGAGAGCATTTCCACGCTGCCATCAAGATAGGCCCGAAAGACAGACAGACAGACAGCCAGAGACAGTAGGAGGTAGAGCTGGAGGTGGAGAGGAGTCATGAGGCTCTATTTTATTTTTGTGCTCTGTGCCTTTATGCTCGTATTTCTGTTTTGTGTTTGCATAAAAGTGAAGTGAGGCAGATTGCGCTCGAGTGCGTTAATCAGCGCTCCTGGGCAGGGCAGCCGGGGAGCCGGGCAGCAGCCAGCGAGGGTCCTGGAGGCCTGGCACTAGGACACCGTAGAAGAATCCAATCCTCGCCAGCGGTGACTTTTTCCCCGCTGGTCAGCACGGACCCCTACAAAACAGATTATACTGATTTCATGCTGGAAAATCAAAAAATGAACGTGCGGCAATTTACATACTTAAGTTGGGATTACGGGGGAGCAGCAGCAGCAACAGCAGGAGCAGATTTTTCTTCTCTCCTCTCCTCCACTCCACCGCTTTACATTTTCCCTTCTCTCGCACTTTGCTTTGTTGTTTCAGGGCTGGCCTTGGCCAAAATTTATTGGCCACATGTTTTCCCTGCCACCTTCGTGGCAGTTGAACAATTTGCCTTTTTTGACAATATGGCTTTTCGACATTTTTCTGGGTAGGCGGAAGGGGAGGGCCCGGCCCGGCCCGGCCCCGCTTACAACATGGAATTTCCGGGGATTCCATTTTTAATTGAATTTTGTGTTGTGCTCGGCTGCTATTTTGCATTTTGTTGGCTTATTTGCTTCCTTCTTATGTTGGATAATTAAAGTGCCCCAAGCCAAAACCATTGCATACATATTTGTGATTTCTGTTGGGTCCGCGTCCCACACCGCGTCCATGCAAATGACTTCCTTTCGGATGATTGTTTTAGTGGGAAATTTGCGTGGATTTTCCATCTACATCTACATGGGGTTTTTTTTTTGTTTTTTGTTTTCTGGGGTGATGTAGCATCAAGTTGATAATTTTCATAATTTTCAGCGCCAGACAGCAACAATAATTATATTAAAAATGGAGGATGGGACAGATGGATGGAGCTGTGCCGGAAAGGGATATGGAAAGCTGGCGCGCCTTGCAAATTGCAACTCAAGTGATGGCGGGCGGAAAGAGGCGGAACATATACATATATATTCGGTGGTGCGACTGAGAGAGAGATAAAATAATGGGGCAAAAGAGATAGATGGATAGAGTGATGCTGGGAGAGAGTCGGTTAGAGTGGGGGTTGAATGGAATAAAAGAGAAAGAGAAAGAGAGCAACATTAGAACACTTAAGCACTTAGCAGAGTCCCCTGCCCCCTACCTCCCCCCACACCAAATCCCCTGAATCGCCACTGTTGTGGGAGTAGGAGTAGGAGTAGTAGTTTCCCTCTCTCTCGCTCTTCCTTTTTGGATATTCCAAGCACGTTCCAAAAAAGCGATTCGCTGGAGATTCCCCACACGAACCAAACAAATCGCTTAAGTCTTCATTTTATCAATTTTCTCTCTCGCAGAAATGGGTTTTAATTCCTTTCGCATTCTTTTTCATGCCATCCATCAGTGACTGGGTTTTCAGGCTTTGAAAACTTTCGATTCGGGTTTTAATTAAGTTTCTATTGAGGCATAATGGAATTTAGAAAAGTTTTCGAAAATATACTGCGTTTGTTTGGATTGAGAATTTAAGATCAAAGTGCAATCTGGAAAATATATTTGAAGATGGTGGTAGTTTTTGCTACAAAAAAACGTTATAGACAATATATATCCTTTAAACCATTTTATAATTTCCACAACTGATATTTTGCATATAAAAACCCTTAAGTTCCTTTGATTTATTTGTTCTATTTTCAACCCTGCAGCTAAATTAATGCTTCCATATAAAAGCCGTTTATTTGAAAAACGAGAAGGGATTATAAATACAAAGAAACGAATATAAGACCTATTGGTCTCCCCTCTTCTGAGTCTAAAGCAAAACATTTTTGGGGGTCTTCTTTCAAAGAAAGCAGAATACTTTGAAAGTTTAAAATATGGGTTCAAGGAAAATTAAATCCATTCCTAATTACTTTGGCCCAAAGCAGATTAACCCTATGTAGTCTTTAAATCTATACAGATTCCAACTTTTGGAAATTTTAAATAATTATGTGGAGGGGTCGGTAATTTTTTTAGGGGCTATACAAGTTTTTTAAATTGTTCATTAATAAAATGTGACTACTTACAGGCAATCATCACTCTAGTCCTTGGAAATCTTCGTCTTTTCGTCTTGAAACACCTGAAATTGTATTGAAAAAAACATTAATAACTAAGAAACATTCGATACATAAATATGTACACTCTATACATCCGTTGTGATGATGGAATATTTCATTTTTCATCTTTAGGAACGACAATAATCTAAACGTATTCAACCCCTTCTGACATCAGATATTGTTGGAAATTAAAAAATTCTAGAATGTAAAAAAATAAAATCTGCAAAATCTCTTATTGCCCGCTGGGCATTCCCTGGAACATCCCCATTGCATCGACATGCATATGAGTGTGTCCCATCCCCCCTTTACTATTTCCCACACAGATGCATCTGTCTGGCTCCATCAGTGTATTGGTGTATGGGTGCATCTGTGTGTGTGTGTGTGTGTGTGTCCCTCCGTTGGTGCATCTCATTCTTGTTATTTTTATTGTAGCTCTGATTCGCGCTTTATTGCATTATAATTGAATCTTGAGCGCACAACTAACGCAGGAAACGTTGGCTGACTGGAAACCGTTTCCCGGTTGCTGCCCTGTCGCCCTGCCCCTCTGCCACCCCTCTACCCCTACGGCCAGCTGTTGCACTTAATGCCAAGTGTTTAAAAAAAAAGGAAGAGAGAGAGAAGGAGGGCAGAGCAAGAGACAGAATGGAAGTGAAGAGGAAGTGAAAAGAAAAAGTGAAGAACAAGAAGTAATATTTACTTACTCCCACACCGTCCACCGTTCAGCACGGCAAACCATTCGACAGTCGCCATTCATCTCTTTTCTCCCTCATCACTTTATCTCTTTCTTTCACACAATATACCCATCCTGCTCTAGGAAATCTCTTCCTCCCTTCCTCCCCTCTCACACTCTTTCGCCACTCATTGCCAGCGAAAATGCAATAAAAATTGTTTTCCCATAGACGGTGGCGACGGCGACGTGGCGGCTGCTAAGCAAATGTTGTTGGAAATGAGCTATAAAAACGGGAAATTGTATTTTACAGTAAATTTTTGCAACACACAAACTAGCTAGACCTGCCACCGCCCCCCCTAGCCACCACTAGCCCGCTAGCCCTCTAACCCTGTAGACCCGTCTCCACCCAATCTCTGCGGCACGTCAACGCTTTCCATGCTGCTGTCGCAGATAATCCGTTGCTGAGTTGGCTTGTCTTGACTTGGCCTGACATTGGCTTTGGGTCGACGCTCCCCCCCTCCCGTCCACCCCCATCCCCATCCGCATACGCTCCGCTCCGTTCCGTTCCACTCGGTTCCATTCAGCTCCCAGGTCCAGAGTCCAGGTTCGCCCTTATCCGCCTCCCCCTCGCTCCCATCCACAACTCTGCTGACTCTTCCAGCGTGGCTTTATAAGCTGCCAATATTAAAATGATGACAAGTTTATGGCAAAAAGGCCAAGGCGGAGGTGGTGGCAGGAGGAATGGCATCCAGAGCGGAAGAGTGGATTTGCTAGCAGAAGAATTTAATACTCTGGTAGATCGAATGATTCTATAGGAGGTACTACATAAAAGTAGTAAAAGTGGGGTTCCAGTTCTGGTAGAACTTGGAAGGAAATGCATAAACATTCATACGATATCTTCAGAATTAAAAGTTTATGTTTTGGCAGATCGTTTCTTCAGAAGCTATGTATATAATATCGTAATCAGATCTGTAAGGTGTTTACCTCCTCCGGCTTTACCTTCTACGATGATGAAAATAAATAAATTAAAGATTCAAAGATGCTAGAAATAACCATAACACCCTCTTGAAGGGTACGAAAAGGCCAAGGAGGGGGTGGGCCAAGGGATGGGGGATTGGCATAAACAGAAAAGGAAGCAGACGGAGGAAGCCAGCGAAAATGCAATTCATGGAAAGCTGATGTCTCGTGGCTTTATTTATAGGCAGCCCCGCTCGGCAGCCCCTCGACTTGGACAATGAGAATTCTAAAATTCTTCCTGCCATGCTGGTTGCCTGGCTAAAATGATCAAATCATAAATAAATAACCAAGTGCAATCTGGCAATTGTGGAACTATGTAGCTGGTGCCCTTCCCTCTACAATAATAGATTCGTAGTTTGCTTATTTATTCGGGGCATAATGGCTTTTACTCAGTGCAATGTTGTCAATTAGTGAGTTCAAAGTGGGTCTCCTTCTTTGAGGGCTGGCTGTGAGATGGTACTGCGGAACTAGTTCTGTTAAATAAACTCTGGAAATGATTCTGAGACTGGCTCGGATTGTATTTGATTTGGATCGCATAGCCCTGGAATGAGTTACTTACTGAGAAATGATTCAAAGACTGATTCTAGCGCGGAATTCATTCAATTTTCTTTGAATTTACAGACAATATTCGCAACAAATTCTTTTCATTTAATCGTTTGGCTATCACTAGGGAATTAGTGTACTTTTTTTTATAGTTTCTTAACTCCAAAACTATTTCAAAAGCCATCAAGAAAACCTTTGGGTTGCACCCAAATAGCCTCCCATTTTCCTCGCCCCAAAATTGACGTGCATCGTTTTTGGTTCATTTCCAAGAGTTGCCTCATTGCATCCCTGGTGTATCTACGAGTATGCAACAAGGAATGGTGGGAAGGGAGGGGGGGGGAGGCAAAGAAAAGAAAAAACGAATTACATAAATAACTGCGCAGTGTTTGTGCCATTTTGGTTGCCACATTTGAATAAAATATGAATAAAAACCGAAATGCATTTAGTTGGGTGGCAGAGTGAGGAATAGGGTATATCCCTACCATTTGCCTGCATTTCCCTAGTACTACTGCCACACCCCCCCTCCCTCCCCCTGTAGCGACTAGTTTGTCACCTTTTCGCTCTTTTGAAAAGGTCTTACAGCAAGACCGGGGGTACGTCGTCGCATTCGTTCCCTGCCACGCCTCATCCTGCCGACATTTCTAGCCTGGCTCTTGCCATACAGATACGAGTACGATAATATTTGCATTCAGTTGAGCCTCCTTCCTCAGGCTCTACCTCTGGCAGTGCCTCTGCCACTGCCACTGCCTCTCTCGTTCCTGTTGCAGTCTATTTCTTCTTTTTTATTTTGCTGTCAAAACGTCAGCAATGTCGTCCTCGTCCTCGTCCGCGTCCTCGTCCTGGTTGTGGTCCTGCTTCTAGGTCCTGGTCCTGGTGGTCCTGATACTCGTCTGGAGCTCGTTCCGGCGCAGCGTTCGCTTGGCTTGGCTTAATTTTGGCTAGGGAAAAGTGCATAAAAAATCTGCGGCGAATTTGCAATTTGAATTCGACTGCGACCCTGTCTCCTGTGACCCTCTTTTCTTCGTGTCCCCTGTCTGTCGTCCTCTATATATACTCGTACCCGTATTACCCCATTACCACCCCAGCCCCCCTGTCGTCGTGGATGTGTGTGTGTGTGTCAGTGTCTGTCTGTCTGCGAGAGAGTTTGTCCTGAAGTGTGTTTGTGTCTCCTTTTATTGAGCCCAGGACATGGTCGTCGTCTCGGCTAGGCTTTACTCTGCCTTAGTCTTTCCTTCCAGCTACAGCTCTTGCCTCCGCCGCTGCCGCTCCTCCTCGTCCTCCTCCTCCCTGAGGCTGCGACGTCTTGGCAGGCAGTCAGGCGGCTATTTAGGAAGTAATTTTCGCGCTTTCATCGCAACTTTTTCTCTTCTTAGTCCTGCTCCAGCGGACTGTCTGTCTACAGATCTTTTTGGGCACGTTATTTGTGCGCGGGGCTGGCGGCTTGGCTCCTTTAATGCATTTTTAAAAATGCCAAAATGCGCAAATTGAAAGCGACTCCTCGCCGGGTCTCCATTCCCTCATCTCATTTCATCCCATCTTTCCCTCAACCTCTGCCCTCTGTGCCTTTTCTGGCGCCTCACATTTCTGTGGTCGCCTCCTTTTGGCCGGGTCACGTGCTTACAGAGCGCCCAGAAGGGAGGAGGAGCTGCCGGCGCCGAGGTGCGGACTGGTCCACACGCAGGCATAATTTCAGCCACTGCACTCAGACTTAATGAATATTTTAAGGGACAGCTTTCATATTACCTGCCACTGCATATGTTATATGTACGAGTATATCTGTATTTCCCACTCGTCCCTACTGCCCCTGTGCCTCTGCCTCAGCTTCTGCTTCTGTTGCTGGCCAAATGTCACAAATGAGCATCAAATGTTTGTCAAGTTACCATTTTTTTGTGTGTTTGTTTTCTACCCTAGTGCTAGTTGTTGTACTGCAGGAAATGCCAAAGTTGAAATGGAAGTGCGCGAAAATGTGGACCGAAAATGCCAAAAGGAATTCATTTTATTCCGAAAAATGTCCCACTTGTTCAACTGAATTATGGTCTAGGCTTTAACAAATTGTGCATACTCATATCAGGATGTGGAAAAATATGAAAATACATATCTGGAAGGATGCTAGAGCCACAAACGCAAGCTACTTATCAAACAAGTCCCAAAAGAAAAAAAAAGGACTCTGATCAAGCCGGGAAAACTCTTAAAGCCTCCTTCAAGTTGTATGATTCTGAGAAATATGTATATGAAACTGAAATGTTCACACAATCCTCTTCAAATTTTATTATTTCCTTCCAGGAACTAACAAACAAAATTTGGCAGAACATCAGGAAAAAGGAAATATCAAATGCTCTTTCGTTCAGATGAAAATTAAAATAAATTTCCATATTACTTCCGCAATTTCTGAAATGTTGATGAGCACCGAGCATCGTATCATTTAAGAGGCGTATACATATTTGATATTCGGCTACGGGTATCCTGCCATAACATATAATTAAAATTACACACATTTTATAAGCCCAGAGCTCCCCCGCTCTGCCAGCTCCCCGACTTCCCTCCCAGTAAGACACACCCACACATGCAGTTGCTACAATTGACCCAAAATGAACTCTTTTCCTTCAATCTCGCGCGAGCTATACCCAAACCCCCGACCAAAACCCCGGCCCAAGGATGCCAACCACAATTTAATCTCTGTGGAATTATTACCACCCCCCCAACCCATTCTGAACCTCTAAGAGCCAGCTTCGTCTTCGGCCTACGTCTTGTTCTGGGCCTTTTTTCTTGTCTTCATTCCAGTGTGAGCCTCGGCCCCCAGCCCCCTCCCGGATTTCTTTGTATTTGTTAATAAACTCCTCGGCAGACTAAATTCAAATTACGCACACATCTTAAGAGCCAAAGGGGGGGTAGTGGGGTGGCAGCAGGAGAAGTGGGATCAGGATCAGGGATAGGGCTAGGGGTGGGAGATGTTATGGAGAGGTCTCTGACGACGTTGGCAGTCATTCCGCTTATAGGCAGCTCATTATCTCAGGTCTATATTCATACACGACTTGCCTGTTCTGTTCTGTTCTGTTCCATTCCAGACGTATCCTGGTCCATTCCGGTATGCGTGAGTGCGTTCATCTTACACCTCCTCTCCAGCTCCCAGCTCCAGCTCCACTTTGACTTGTCGTAACATTTCATCTTTATTTTGGCATTATTCCCAAGGCGCCGCTTATTGTTTTTCGTGAAAATGGCAACGGCAATGGCAACAAATTAGAAGCGAGTGCCCATCGCCATCGGAGATGGTGGGCGCCCTGGGGTAGTGTTGCTGTGGCAGGGCCTTTTCTAGTTGCCACAACTACGGCAGGTGTACACATCCTCGTGCATCTTTCACTTCTTTTCATCCAACTTTAATTAAACTAATGGATAATTAAGACCTCCTCAAGACTTACTCTCTACTTGAGGTTTTTACTATTTCATTGGTCAGTGTTGGGTGTGTTATTTTTTATCCTTGATGGTTAAATATTGAATGTACATTTGTTGTATCACAAAAGTTATTGTATATCAGCTCATTTCTTGTGGAATCTAATTGGAATTCAATATTTTCGAAAAAAAAACCGTATTGTCTGACAGAAGCTGTCTGTTATGTGACAACATTTTTCTGGTACTCTGGTAGCTTTGGAAAATGTTTGCACTGCTTGAAATTTCCAATTTTGAAAGCAGTCTTTCTTGGTGACTGTCGAATGCTGATTGGTATGACACGGTATACAAATTTTAAGATTTTTCGTGCAATTTTTGTTAATTTTCTGTGGAATGGATTTCGGATTCCAAATTATTCTGTATCGATGTGTTTTTCGTAGTGCCCAGTATTTCTTCATTAGAACCGCATATCATTTGTGTAAGTAGTAGTTAAAACACCTTCGTTTTTGCCTTCTTATCCATTTGTGATCTGTTATTCTTTATATCAAGCAACGCGGCCAGAAGGTTCTTTTCATTTTCAAATAAATTCATCGTACAACAGGTTGGTTAACAGCATTTTCAACTCTTCAATTATCGTCGTATCGTGGGGGTCCATATCTCCTCTATTCAGTGTTCCAACAGACGGTGCGTTTCGCTACGGTTCAACTAACTCGCTTTACATTATACAAAATATTTCATGAAAAAGGATATCCTCCAGTTAAGGGTTGTTGTGTATTGTCTTCGTAGCGCTTCCTTCTTCCTTCGTCCTGTATCCATGCAATAACTCACTTTCCAATTCCAATATAATATAATATCCAGCGCCAACGATTAATGTAATGTGTATAAGTGCACAACTATTCCTGATTCCTGATTCCGATTCAGAGCTACTTTTTCAGGCCCCAAGCATTGTTGCTGGGCACGGGGACGCGACGCTGTCCAGACTCACGGGCCAACACCTCCATAATGCTAGTGGCAGGCAGCCAGCACTGAAAGAATAATACAAGAATGATTATTGCATTAATTGAACATCACAATTCGGTTGTTGTGTACGCACCCTTTCCTTGTGTGCCGTGGCCACCACATTGCGATTCGGTTCCTTGTCATACGACACCGACTCAATGCCGAAGATCTCGCACAATTCGTGCACCATCTGCCTCTTCTCCCGGTTCATCGTTGGGAAAGAGTGACTGCGCGACCGCTGCTTGCTCTCCTTGGCAAGCTTCACCAGATCTGTCAATGTCTCGTACACGCTCTTGGTCAGTGCCTGATTCCGTTTGGCAAAACCACGCAAAAACTCTGAATATTTGGTTAGAGATTTCTGCTGCGTATCCGGATTGCGCGATTGTAGGGCCTGTGCCAAACGGCGATTCCGTTCCAACACACGACACTCGTCGTTGCAGTCCAGTCTGTAAGAAGGAAAGGTTTATTTGGTGACTGGTAGTTCCCCCCAGAAATACGGATCATACTCACGTTCTGTTCGACTTGTTGACCTTGGCCGGTGCCAGGATCTCGCTGAGTTCCATGTAGTTGCCGCGCGACATCTCGGCCATTGAGGAGGCCAGCTGGGCGGTGGCGATGCGACTGTGCTCGCGAGCCAGCTCCTGGCAGCTGCGACTTAGCTTCCGGTTGCCGCACTCGCACTGCACATCCACCAGCTCCTTGCATGGTGTCTCGGGGCATGCTCCCTCGTGGCAGGCAGACGCACACTTGTGGCCGCAGAGCGTGCGCGGTTTGGTGCAGCTCTGGCGGCAGATGTCGCTTGGTGATGATTGACAGGGCCCCTCGTGACAGGGCTTGATGCATTTGTGACGGCCACATGGGAGGGGCTTGCCACAGGACAGGCCACAGCTGAAGCTCTCCTGGGAGCAGGGAATGGTTTTGCGTTGTTCGTGATTGCCGTGGCACCACTTCGTCGTGAACATCATGCAGGGCGGGCAGGTGGCCGCCGAATGGCAATTGTGCTGCGGTGAATGATCGCACGGATGCTGGCGCGAGCACGGACGCTTGCACAGCGGCTTCTTCGTCCCGCAGGGCACCGGCGGATAGATGACCTCGGCTCCACACTCGCAGAAGAGCTCCTCGAAGCTGCTGCGGTAGCAGGGAGGACAATTCCCGCGATGACAGGGCTGGTCACACTTGTGCTTGCCACAGCTCAGGGTACGGTTGCACGGCAGCGGACAGGCGTGATCGATGTCTATGCAGCACTCGGCATTGCACTTGTGCTTGCCACAGCTCCGCTTCTTGATGCAGCGCTTCTTGCAGCGGGCATCGTCGGCCCGGGTGGACAGCTGGCGACACTTGATCATCTGGTCCATGTGGCCGCATCGGCACTTCACAGCCGTCTGCTTCTGACACGGCGGGCACTGCCCCAGATGGCACTTGCTGCCACACTGATGCGGATGGGCTGGCTTGCCACAGCGCAGCGTACGCGAGCAGATACCCTCGCAGGTGGGTATGGCATCCAGGCAGCTCGAGCGCTGAGCTGCCGGCACGGGCATCTTGCCGCAGGGGCAGCTGGTTATCTGCTCTGGGCTCAGTTTGCACGGTCTAGAAAATACAAAATTTTAGATACTCTCTATTTTTTAGGGGCATGGCATTCTACAATCTCACCTGCAGTTTCCGGCGTGACAAGAATCCTTGCACTTGTGATTGCCGCAGGGCAGGGGCTGTCCGCAGCTCTCCTTGCACGAATAGTTGCGCTTGTCGAGGCTCTCGCGCGTGCATGGCACCTGCCGATCCTGCTTGCCGCAGTGGCAGTGCTGCTCCACTTGCTCCGGGCAGGCGGCGCACTTGCCCGAGTGACACTCCTCCTTGCAGTGATGCTCACCGCAGTTCAATACCTTGTCGCAAATCTCGCCGCACTTGAGCTCCTCCTTCATGGCGCACTGCATCGTCTGGGAGCTTCTGCCGCATCCGCAGCTTCTCACGACATTCGCCTGGCACGGCGGACAGGGTCCGGGATGGCAGAGCAGCGTGCACGCATGGCTGCATCCTTCGATGCGGCAGCAAACCTCTCCGCAGCTGTGGGCCAACTCGTTGCGGGACACTGTCGGATTCTTGAGCTTGCCGCAAAAGCACAGATACTCCCGTGGCAGATCCTGCAACACATTCTGGCAGGCGGGACAGCGCCAGCCCACATCCGACTTGGAGCTACTCGCCCAGGTGATGGTGCACTTCAGATGGATCACGTGGTAGCAGTTCTGGCACGACCACGTCGAATGGTGTGACTTGATCGTCTCCACACAGACGAGGCACTCCAATCGCCTCTGTTCGATGTCTCGAATCAGTTTCTCTCTCTGCGAGAGCTTCTCGTTTTCTGGCGGCGGTGGGGCACGGCGTGGCGAGATCTGTTGCTGCTGTAGCTGCTGCTTCTCGGGCGAGGGATGAGCGCTTTCATTGCTCGTGTCTAGGTCATCGGCGGCTCTCGGAAACCCGTTGATGCGATCCCGATTGCGATTCCAGTCGTCGCGCCGCTTATTGCTGCGATGATTGTCATAGCGCTGTTGCTTCTGTGGCTTCTTGCGTTCGTTACGGTCGTTGCGGTCGTATCGATCCTCGCGACGCTCTTCGCGATCATCGCGATAGTCACCGCGACGCTGCTGACGTGTGCCGCCAGACCGAAAGTCTCTCTCTCGATCTCGATCGCGGTCGCGGTCCCGCTCTCTGTCGCGATCCCGTTCTCTGTCGCGTTCCCGTTCTCTGTCACGATCTCGTTCGGTGGGCAAGGCATAGTTGTGATTAGATCTTGGCTTAGGACCGCCTCCTGAGGCGTTTCCTCGATTTTCGGCGGCTCCATGTAGATCTGGACGATGTATTGCTGCCTGGACTCCCTCGCTCATGGCAGTTTCAAAGCTGGCAGTGCTGTTGCCGTTCGTTAGGCCAGACGACTCCTCCAGAGTCAGCTTCATCATGTTAGGCACAAATTCTGGTGCTGATGCCTGCAGCTTAGAGGCGCTAAAATCAAACGGATTGTTGCCAAAAGGCGTGTACACATTGGAGAAGGCGCCCATGTTCATGTTTCCAACCGCGTAGCTGTTGCTGAATGCCGCCGAGCTAGCGGCGACACCATCGCCATTTTGATATGACGGGAATGCGGCCGACGGCTGCGGATAGAACTAATAGTGAGAGAGAATAGCCGGATTACAATCAAAAATAGGGGAGGATGATGCGCAGCAGGGCACTCACATTTCCAAAGCTATTTGAAACGTCGCCACCGGCGGCGGTGCTCCCCGAAGAGGACGGCGTTAATCCAAAGGCGCCACCGCCCCCACCGACGGTGTAATTCGCGTTGTTAGCCAGGAGATGGTAAGGTAATGCGCTGCCTGCGTTGGCTGCCAGATTGTGCTGCATGATGAACTGATTGAAACTCACATAGTTGTTGTTGCTGCCGCCGTCGTTGCCGTTGCTGTTGGCATCCATCGCCACCACAGCGCTCACGCGTTTTTTCTTGCTCAAAATATATATATCTTTTTTGTCCCCGTCCAATGTGGACAATGGGAATAACCACAAAGCTGGAGATGCTTGGGTACTCGCCTCTCTCCGTCCCCGAAGGACTATCACAAATTAGCAGACACGTGTGCAATGACGAAATTGTTAATGATGAAATTGGCACACAAAAGCTTTGCCAGAACAGTCACCGCGCTGCCCGACGGTGAGCGGAGTATTTTACCTGGCAGTCGACTCCTCTCTGACTCACTTGGCACGCACAAAATTGATTAATTTGCTATTTTATATAAAAAAAAGCAGGAATTTGTTAATTTCGACTTGACGGTGAAGTATATCGATAAGAAATCGAACTTAGCCCACTTAACCCCCCTCTATTTAAACAGTTCAACGACTTGAGGTAAATGGCGGCAAATATTACTGATTGTAAATTTTTCTTATAGATCCATGCCATCTTACCTCTGAACTTCAAAAACACCACGATATCTTTCACCTGAACTGCGCTAAAATGATTTCATTTTTATTATTTTCGTTGGAATATTAAAATACCCCCTTGGCTTACAATGGGTTAATCGTTCTCCGTCAAGGATTGGAAACCATATTGTTTAATTTTGTATATTCCGTGGAGTATTACTAGCTATACCGAACATTTAGCCATGCCCACATAATTTTATACGATTGATGAATCAATTTTCTATTTTACTGGTGTATTCTTAATACTTGCTTTTATTGCATTTTGCGTAAAAAGAGGTTTTAGCGAAATAAGTCAAACAAAAAAACCTAGTTCTGCTCGGTCAATAAAATCGATAAAAGGTTATAGTCAACTAATCGATACACAAATTCAAAATTCTGGTATTTTTGTCATTCAGCCCGCCAATTTATAGTAATTGTTGCATATATTTTGTTTTAATTGTCTGAAAACGATGAAGCGGATGGTGACTCTGAGCAAAAGAGATTTGAGCTTCATTTCCAAAGTTCGTTATTTGTAATTATCGGATATTTTCCTACATTTTTTCAGTGGATTTATGGATAAAAAACTGTCACACTGCTGAAAAATAGCACAGAGTTGTTTTTCTGCAATAGAAGCGCGAAAATCAAAAATACTGAAATGCTATTGATCCGTTTTCGCGACTTTCATTAATAATTTACAGCTTAAATATGTGTTTTTTTATGTTTTATTTGCATTTTAATCGAGTGTGCCAATGTTATTGAGTAATTTGTGCCAAATTTCAACTGCAGAAAATTATTTATGAGGCTGCCACCGCATGTGTGTGTGTAAACAGGTAGGTAAACAGCTGCCAGATTTTTTGAACATTAACTTTCAAATTTGTTTCGGGGCATTAAACATCCACCGTATACATGTAGATGCCGAGAATAAGTCCATACAGTCCCAGTACCTCAGCGAATATCAAAATTAGAATCATCCCAACGAAGAGACGCGGCTGCAGAGCAGTGTGTCGCACACCCTCATCGCCAACAATACCAACAGCATATCCGGCGGCCAGTCCAGTCATTCCTACGGATAGTCCCGCTGCCAGGTGGACGTATCCTTTGGCCAGCGAATACGTATTGCTAGTATCCAAAACACCAGCGATCAGCACGGCCACCACCAGTCCATAGATGGCTATAATTCCGGCCATCACTACGGGAATGATCGACTTCATGATCAACTCGGGACGCATCACTGCCGTGGCGGCTATGCCCGTTCCGGACACAGCGGTGCCATAGGCAGCCCCAAACGAGGACAATACTATTGCCGACACTACGCCCATTATCCCATAGAATGGCCCATAGGGTGGATACCGCTCCAAGTTACGACAAGTCTCGAGACTATTGTGCAACTTCAGTGGAGCCAGAAGTAGTCCTAGGTTGTAACTTGATGAAGCCATTATTTTGTGGCTATCTTTAAAGTAAGTCTTTTTTTAAATGCGGCATAAATCTTTGTTCTTAATCTTCTACGAACCTGTATATTAAGTCTTGAATAAAGCTCTCTTTCAGTGTATTATTCCTTCAATATTCTCTTTCGATCTGTTCTTTTTTACTGAACGTACACACGTACATCACAAAGGCAAGGGCAATGAAAATCTAGATTGATATTATTCTATAAGAATGCTTAGTTTGAATGAAACTTAAAAACAAATTCCTAAGGTTACTAGAACATTAAATAAAGCAAAGCTTAAGAGGGATCTACCATTTGTAGATTTTGATTAGTCTATGAGGGGTTCAAGAACTAACTTCCTTGTGAAATTAATCTCTGATATTAACAACAACAAAACAGGGACTGTAATATATGTTACAATTTTGGTTGATACATCCTGCACCTTCTTCTACTAATCGGCTCAGTATGTTCTTAGATTGCTTAGCAGGGATTGCTGGGCTGGTGGCGGCGGTGGTGGCATGGCAAACGTTGGAGCTGACGCCATGGCCAGAGCCAGGCTGGTGGGAACCTGCATCTGCATCTGCCCCTGGGGCTGAGCCTTTCCGGGCACTGGATATGACGATGGCGTAGAGTCCAATGGTCGATACTGACACTTCTTGGCATGGGTGCGCATATTGCTGGACTGTGTGAAGGCCTGATTGCAGTTGGGATGCGGACAGACGTAGGGCTTGCAGCCCGTGTGGTAGTTGAGATGCGTCTTCAGGTGATGTTTCTTCGTGAAAGCCTTGGGGCAGAGCGGACAGCTGAATGGCTTGATTCCGGAGTGTAGACGATGGTGCAGGGTCATGTTGCTGCGATCGGCAAAGGACTTGCCGCAAACAGAACACTGATACGGCTTCTCGCCGCTGTGGGTGCGCATGTGCTGCTTGAGGAGCATCTTCCGAGAGAAACGCTTGCCACATTCGGAACACTTGTGCGGCTTGACGCCCGTATGGATGCGTACATGCATATTGAAGGCGACACGCTGGTTGAACGACTTGGGGCAGTAGGGGCACTCGTACTCCTTCCGATTCCGATGGATCTTCATGTGACTGCTGAGGTAGCCCTTGTCGTTGAAGGTCTTGCCACATTCGGGGCACTCGGCCGCAAACTCCTTGGTGCCGCGATGTACGGACAGGTGGTACTTGTAATTCCGCAGCTGGGAGAAGCCCTTGCCGCAATCGGAGCACTCGTAACGTGGCGATTTGTGTGTCTTCTCGTGCGCCTGAAAGGGAGAGAAATATCGTTCAATGTTTTTGGCCATTTTGTAGGGGTCTCGTTATCTCTTTCGTAGACTGCTTGTCTCCCTCTCTCTCTTGCTGTTTCTAATGTATCTGTATCTGCCCTGCACCCATGCGTAAAACCAGTTCTCGCTTTGTTCGCTTCTGTTTTCGGGCTGCCTCCATTTTGACCATTTCGTGTTGGCCTTATCGAGATTTGCATAAGGCAGCCGATCGGCTCTCTTCTCTTCCCTCTGCTCTGCTCTTTTCTTCTCTCTCGTCTTATCTTTTCTCTCCCTTTCTTTTGGTTCGTTGACTCCGCCCCCTCCTCTTAACTGGCCGAAGCCCCGCCCTGTTTTGCTGATCTTTTAGTTTGTGGAGAAACTTGTTTTTGGAGGATCTTTTAAGAGTTAGGATTGGGTGAACAATATCTTATTTGAGTTATGGCCATACGAAAGGTTATTGCTGTTCAGGCGATACAGATTTTGTAGCTTTTGATTGAATCTTATAATGATCTTGTAGGGGGGTTTATTGCCAGACAAGTCTTTAACAACATGATGGTATATTTAATCAAATTGGAGTTGAATTACTGTACAAAAATATATCCGCAAGAATTGTAGATTCGTACATAGGATGGCTATTTGCAGATGGATACCTATACTATTGAATAAATATTATATTTCATATTTCAAAGGAATTTCTCAAGTTTAAGTTCACCAAAACCTTATAGGTGTCAGGAAATATATACTGATTAAATATTATACCCATATTTCAAAGGAATCTCTCAAGTTTATGATCACCAAAACCTAAGATGGTTCAGCGGGTTTTGATTTTCTCTAATCTGTTTGAAGGCTTCAGTGGTTTGAAAACTTGTTAGGAATGATAAAAAGTTTGTGTTCTTTAATATGTTATATTAAAGCAAGAATTTAGAAAAACAAAAATAGCCAAGATTTTCGAAACAGAACACATCTCATGAAGATTTTTCCGATATTTGGATTATTGGAACAGCCATTTTGTATCAGTTTTTACATTTTTAAACATAAAGAATTGTTTGTGAAACACTTTTAAATTCTTCACTTAGTTTTTATTTAAAGATTCTGGGTTGAAGGCCTCTTAAAAATCCTCTAAAATTCCTAAGCTGCTCGTAATCAAAAACTCAAATGAAAAGTCTAACCACAAGGACTTCCATCCTAGCATTTAGTTCTGAGTCAGTTTTATATCTATTAGTTCTCTTTACAGTTCCTTGTAAAAATTGTATCCCTTCTCATTTCTCGAAACTCACCTGTAGAGTCTCGGAGCATCCAAAGACCTTCTCGCATATCCTGCACTTATAACTGATCTCCTCGGCGGCAGTGGGATTATATGGATTGATGGGATTGATTGAGCTGCTGCGGCTGGAGCTGATGTTGCTTCCCATGCCGACGGCATTGGGCAGTAGTCCATCCATCTTTGGCATCAGTCCGGCGGCTGTTTGGGCCGTGTTCATACTGAAATTGGTGACGGTGGTCAGCGAGATGTTGGTGCTGTTGACCAGATCCCTAACTGGTCGCATGGCGGAGCTACTCGAACTGCTCACGGACGAGGCAGCGGGCGATATCAGAGGCGTGGACTTGTAGCCTGCCTGTATCTTTTGGTAGTAGTCCAGGCATTCGAGGCAGTCCGGACGTGTGCAGGCGGTGGCTGTGGCTTTTGGACGGATTAGATTGGGATGTTGCTGCTGCTGTGGGGCCTGTCCATTGATCACATAGGGTGCAAAGTATCGCTTCTGCTGTTGATGATGGTGCTGCTGCAGCTGCTGCTGTTGCTGGTAGGGTGACGTGGGTGGAGTGCTGAGGCCGGCAGCCGCCGCTGCAGCGGCATAGGCGGGCAGCAAATGTGGAAAGAACTGGGCATAGAATTTGGTGGCATTCGCCATAGCCACCAGATCCGGAGGCAGCATGGAGTAGCCCATATATGGAGGAGAGGCTGCAATCGTGGGTGGGACTTGGGGGGCTCCTTGGGCCGGGCTGCTGTGGCTGGTGCTTCCACTTTTGGAGAGATCGAGAATGTTGGCTGTGGCATCTGTCGGAGATGATCTCCTCTCCTTGCCCAATATCCGACTGATGCTAAAGTCCGTTACTTGGGCCGGAGCCTGGGCCACCGCTGGGGGACACTCATTTGTGGTGCTATTGGTGGAGCTGCTGGGGGTGCTGTTGGCATTTGTGGGTGAAGTGCGCGCTGGCGAGGGCGACATCTCGTAACTGCGCTGCAACATGGCGTGCTTGAAACCCATTCTCCTGCTCCGCACTACAGATTCGCTCATAGACTTCGGGATCGCTCCGGTTACTGGACTGGGAAAAGTCGCTCCAGAGTGGGAACTGTCGCGGTGCGCGTCGGAACACGAAATGTCTTGGGATCAGCGCCAACAGCAGACCTCAACGTCTCTGGGCCAGGTCTAAACACAAGGCTCTGTCTCTCTCCGCCAGCCTCTGGCTCTCTGGCGTTTAATTGGTCGAGAAACAGGTTTTCCAACCAGGCCTCGCTCTGGGTCTCTCTCTCTGGGGCTCTGGCTCTCCAATTAACCAAGTTTGACTGCTGAGACAAACTGTCGCGCCTCCAATTACGAGAGCGCTGCAATCTCCAGAACCATTTGGTAGTAGCATTTTACTAGTCACATCTATCATAAGGCTTATCGCTGCCCTACGATCGCTCTGTCTCTCTTTCCTCTGTTCTTGTTCCCTCTAGAGTTCTCTCTCTCTCTCTCTCTGCTATTCTGTCTTTCTTTTTCTCTGTGGGATCATCCCTGCTGGCATCGCAGATAAAGTGACTAAGATTTCTTTTTGGCCGCGTTGTTTTTGTAATTAATTGCGGTAATAAAATGTGCGCATCGTTAAATTTTCAAAATGTATTTCTCTTGTTCCTCATCCACAGCCACATCCACATCCACATCCACATCCTCGACTGCCTCTTCCTCCATCCCAAAAGGCATGTGTGAATCTTACGGTTATGAGCATTCGCATTCGGTGCGATCATCTCTCTTTCTCCCTCTTTCTGGGACGCTGGAAGAGGGTGAGGTGCCTCGGACAGTCGTGTGTGCCTTCAAGAGTGTGGGAAGGAGCTGGGACTGCAGGCTAGATGACATAATCAGTTGGAATGCGGGGATTCGGTGGAGTAATATGTAAAGGAGCTACTGTTGAGGTTTGGAGTAGGATGAGAAAGTCATAAAAAGTTAAATAGTCATAGTTTTACTCACAGAATAACGACAGGTACAACTATAACTAGTTAGTGGAGTCAAGTGGAATGGAATAAGTGGAGATACAAAATCGATAAAGGTATGCTGAAACAGCAAATACCATGGTAAATATCTGTGCAATCGCATGTCTTCATTTCTCGACCTCAAACCTTCAAAAGGGTATCCAGTACGTACCCTATAAATTATCCTAAACGAGCTAGACGATGGCTAGTCGAGTTATTAAATATTTGTAGCAGCTGTGAACTATGTCCTTGTATGACTATCATCAGATCTTAAGATATATGGCGAACATTGACATGGTCCTTGATGGTAATACACCTGCCACAAAAGTTGAAAGGGGAATAGGGTTGAGCAAAGGCTCAAAGAACTTCTTAACACTCAGCCAAATACTAGGATAATCTAAGAAATGGTATTTCTCTTAATTGATTTCAAAACATCATATGCCATGTAAATTTTTCTAAGATACTGATATACCCCAAGAATGCTCTTCACTTT